CAGAAAACAAATCCTTAACGATGAGTATTAGTACTAACAAAAGGGGTTGTGGCCACTTGAAACTTCTTCCCGCTCTATGGCTCTAGTTCCTTAGTTTAGGTTCCTAATCATATTTGGCCTTTTAGCAGGTAGGGACTATCAAGTGTTAGTAGGTAGGAGGCTGGGTAGAGACACAAAGAGAAAAACTAGTCAAATCACATTTTTTATTTAACTACAGTTAATTTATTTAGTGCGCGCACACACATGTACGTGTGCGTGTTTGTGTGCATGCATGGAGGACTGAGGACAACTTGTGGGACCTGGTTCTTTTTCCACCATGTGGGTCCCAGATTTCAAACTGGGGTCTTCAGGCTTGGTGGCAAGCACCTTCACCTGTTGAAACCACACGACAGTGTCCCAAATCACAGTTGAAATACAGAGGCCAGAAGACAATCTGCACAAGTTGCCTTTCTCCTTTCACTATGTGGGTCCTTGAGACTGAACTCACATCATCAGGCTTGGCAGCAAGTGTAGCCGGAGGCTTCAAGTGCCTTCCCTCACCAAACCACCGGCCCCTAATAATGTTAATTAACTTCATCTTAAAAAATTTTTTTAGAATTATTTCATGTGTTTGTGGTTTTTTGTTTTTTTTTTTTTTTTAGATTTATTCATTTTAATTTTATGTGTATGAGTATTTTACCTACATGTATGTCTGTTAACCATGTGAGTGCAGTGCCTGCAGAGGGCAGAAGAGGGCATCAGATCCCCTGGAACTGGAGTCACAGACAGTTGTGAGCCACCATGTGGATGCTGGGATTTGAATCTAGGTCCTCCCTGGTGCTCTTAATCTATGAACCATCTCTCCATGTGGATGCTGGGATTTGAATCTAGGTCCTCCCTGGTGCTCTTAATCTATGAACCATCTCTCCATGTGGATGCTGGGATTTAAATCTAGGTCCTCCCCGGTGCTCTTAATCTATGAACCATCTCTCCATGTGGATGCTGGGATTTGAATCTAGGTCCTCCCCGGTGCTCTTAATCTATGAACCATCTCTCCTGCCTACTCCTTTTTTTTTTTTTTTTTTTTTTTAGGGACGTGTAATTAAGTACCTAAAATTCAAGCATATAACCCAGACTTAGCATTAACTGCTGGACAAAGTTAAATTACCTATAACTCTCTACATCCCGTGGTTTGAATGTCAAATGCCCCCCACAGGCTCACATGTTTGAACAACTGATCCCTACCTGAAGATGCTGTTTGAGAAAGTTGTGGAACCTTTAGGATAGAGGAAACAGGTCACTAGGGTTGAGCTGTGCAGCTTTACAGCAGCACAGCTGCCCTTCTTACAGACTGCTTTTCATATGCAGACACAATGTGACCAGCCAGCCTCCTGCTCCTGCCACCATGCCTTCCCAGCCACAATGGACTGCATGCCCCTGCAACTCTAAGCCAAAATAAGCCCTTTCTTCCTCAAGTTGCCTTTGTCAAGGTATTTTATCATGGCAACAGTAAAGTAATTAAGACACTAGCTGATCCTTTATTATTAAGTATATCCCAGATGTCAAATTATTTCATCCTTAAATATTTCAATGTCAGATGAGCTTTAAAACTCAATGCCAGCCAGGTGTGGTTGGCACATGCCTTTAATCCCAGGACTCAGGAGGCAGAGGCAGGTGGATCTCTGTAACAGCCAGGGCTGTTTTACAGAAAAGCCTTGCCTTGAGAAAAAAACAAAACAAAACAAAACAAAACAAAAATCAAACACTGTCAGGGGCTGGAGAGACAGCTTGGTGGTTAAGAGCACTGACTGCTCTTCTAGAGGACACCAGTTCAAGCCTGAGCACCCACAATAGCTCACAACCCTCTGTAACCCCAGTTGCAGGGATTCCAATGCCCTCTTCTGGCTTCTGTAGACAATGCACACACAATGCACAGACATATACATACAGAAATACTCAATCACATAAAATAAAAAGTTAGGAAAAAAAACCTTAAAATCTCAACCCCAGTATTCTATTTTCCTACAGTTTAAAGAAACAAAAACTGAAAAGTTCACTAATATTCAGAAACTAAATTATGATGCCATTATCTAATCAGTTCTACACATAAAGGAGTTAATGCTTCAACAATTTCATTATGTGGTTTCATAATGACATCTAGTGGATTAAAAGTGCAACAGAAGTGGTAAGAATAAAAACAACCATTGTCATAGGGCTGTGTGGGCAAAAGTTCACAGGACCAAATCAATAAGTCACCAAACATCCTTAACAACGTCATCTGTTTTCAAGGAGAAAGAATGAAGATGTATACAAACTTTTAAACTTTCATAATACAAAGGCTCTTTATAACCTGATTTCCTGCCTCACCTCATTTCTGTTATTTTCCTTTATAAACTACCAACTAGAAAGAGTTCATCACTTACTCTAGAACATACCAAACCAAGCACATTACAGATCCTATACTTTTCACTGCTCCTATTTCAAAAAGTCTCTTGAATTTATCAATTCAGCTCAGCATACCAATTCAAAATAAATAGTTCAATTCCATGTCTTGCATGAATTCTCTCTGTACTATTTCCTTAGAATTTTAAAATTTGGAATTCCCATGGCATAACTTTTTTGGTCAAGTACATCAAATATGTCTATATTACTTACGAGATTTGGTATATAAGAGACTATAGTAATGGAAATATAAGCCCATAGAGGGTCCTAGCTGACATATTAGTACTACAATGCTTAACAAATATAATGTGTTCACTTACATGCTGACTGATGTGTTCGAGCCATGCACTGTGTTCTACCAAAAAAAATCCATATTACAATGAGATTTATAGTTATAATCATGATGGTCAGGATTGGATCTGTCCTTCACTCTTCTATCTCTTATAATGTAACCAGTGTCCAGTTTGATAAATTCTTCATTTCTTCCTTTTTATTGAGGCAAAGTCCATGTGGCACCAAAATTTCTGTTTTCCTGACCTGCCTCTTGAAGGCTAAGATTATAAGTTTGCATCACTATATCTGGCTCCTATTTATAAACTTCAAAAAGGAAATTAAAATAATTATAAAATTGATTACTACAAACCACACAATGCCTCCAAACAAAGAAAAAAGTTTGAGGCAAAAGAAATCTCAGAATAAAATTTGAAGATGATAACATGTGCCTTATAAAGCTCTCTCTACTTATACATACAGCCCAATTCGATTATGACCAAGTACTGTGGAAATGAGTAAAATCCTGAGTGAATGTGTGTTGTTGACATGGACACAGCCATATCAAGGACCCCAATGCCTTGAAGTGGCAAAGCCTTCCCTGGTTGAGGTTCAGAGGACTGGCAAATCCTTTCTCTGCTCTATATGCAGATGTTTATAACATGTGCCGAAAATGTTCAACATAGCTTTTCCCTCCACCCCCAGGTATTTATGGTCCAAAGACTATTCCCTATAGAGATGGCTCCTGAGATTAGCTAAACATGCCTCCTTGATCCAGCTGTATACCATAAGCCCTGCTTCCTTGATTCAGCTGTATGCAATAGCCTGCCTCACTGTTCAATTCTACATAATAAACATGCTGAGCTCCCAGGGTGCTGCAGCTTCTCCATCAGAGAGCCCAGTCCACTCGATCCCAGCTTTTCTGTACAGGTGTCCCTATACATCTGTCTTGTTGCCCCAGTTAGGTCAGTCCCTGAAGCTATGTAAGGACTCAGAAAAGCACATTAACTCAGGGGATAAGATAGCTTTTATTTTCATGTGGTCATTGTTTACATTTTTTTCTTGTCACTATCCCTAAATATGTGTTTTCAAATAGAATGAAGAACAATTCTTAAAGTGGAGGTAAACAACACATCAACAAAAGCTCAGGTAACCAAGAAAGGAACTGACTGAATGAGGAGTATGCTGCCACTTACAGTGCTTTAAATTTTAAGCATTAGATACATTTAAAAGGTCACTAAAATTTTTCCAAGTATTCTGATACATTAAGAATTTACTATATTACCACCTGAAATATAGTAGATAATTTTATTGTGATTAGTTTAAAAAAGTAAAAGAAACAAAAAATAATAAATGAAATACTCTTTAACTGTATTGAATCCCTTAGCATCAAAGGTTAAAATAATTTCTATCTGTAGCTACGAGCTGGCAATAACATATAAAAAACATAATTTAAGTATAATTGGGAAATTCGATGTTCTTTGACTTAAGACTTTTTCTAATAAATTTTGAATTCTAAAATTTAATACATTTCTTTAGATAGTTCTACAATGTCGTATCAAAAACAAATGAATGTAAAAAAAAGATATTTATAAATAAGGGAGGTTATGGTGGTTCGTGTGTATAACTCCAGCACTTAGGGGACAGAAGAAAGAGGACTATGGGTCTCAGGTCAGCCTGGGCTACATAGCAAAACATTATCAGGCAACCAGCCAATCAATCCATAAATAAACAATTTTTGATAAATGAAAATAAGCACTTCATACTAGTCCCTAAAAGAGAGTGGCAATAAAGAAATGAAGTTGGGGCTGGGAAGACGGCTCAGCAGGTGAAGAGCCTCCTGGGCAACTGTGAAGACCAGAGTTCAGAGTCCCAGAACCCACGTAAAATCCAGGTGGGCTGGTGGTGCATGTATAAATTCCTGCATATGAGAGGCAGAGACAAGGAAGAGGGTCCCCGGTTCAGTGAGAGACCCTGCCTCAATAGAGAAGATGGAGAGTGACTGAGACAGACAACGGATGCTAACCTCAAGCCTATACATGCACACACATACACACACGCCCATACATATACACCACACATACACACAAGACAACGAATGCTAACCTCAAGCCTATACATGCACACACACACACACACACACACACACACACACGCCCATACATATACACCACACATACACACAAGGAAAAAGTGAAATTCAGTATGTAAACTCTTAATCTCTATTTTCTACACTAAGTATGTCATCTTTAGGTTAGAGGACTGAGGGGAAACACCACAAATATAAAATGAAATGTACCTGTACTTACAGCTTGAGCTTGTTGTTGAAACAACTGATTCTGATTCTCTCCATCTTCTGTTGCATCCCCAAGCACCTGGGAAGCGGGTAACCTACAACTTCCAACAGCAGTGTTCAAATTGCTGGGGAAAACACTTGTCCTTTTAGGAGTTAAATGTGCTGAATCTGAACATCGCATGGCTATAGAGCCTTCCTTTTCTGCCTAAACAAAGGCAAAAGGCGAGATAATGAGACTCTATTCCCTTCCAGCACAAATAATCCCTTGCAGCCATAAGATTTTCACCGAGAACAACAGAGTAGGGGGCAGGAAGCCTTCGCTGACAGAGGAATTAACATTTACCAGGCACCTACCCTGTGTTAACAATTTAACTAGACTATCCCACCTAATTCTTCTAAAATCCTCTAAGATTAAGTATCATATCATATTGTGACGGTTAATTGTGGCTGTCAACTTGACTACATCTGGAATCAATGAAAACCCAAGCAGCTGGGCACACCTATGAGGGACTTCCTTGATTGGATGATTTGAAGTGGGAAGACCCACCCTAAATCTAGGCTACCTTCTGGTGACAGCCCATATAAAAAGACAGGAACAAGGAAGCTTTTGCGGTTTTTTTTGTCTGCTTGTTCTCATTCTTATTGGCAAGTTCATCCATCCTGTTGCTGAGGCATTCCTGCACTAACTAGTATTAAAAGCTACTTCTTTGGGAGTCTGAAACAGACTAGAGAGTAGCAGCTCTCTAAGAATTCTCTAGGACTCTAACATCAGATTGAGACTGCTGAGACACTCAGTCTTGTGGATTGAATGGCTACAGATTCTTGCTTTCCATCCGAGACAGCCTTTGCTGAACTACTTGGACCACAGCCTGTAAGCCATTCTAATAAATCCCTTATCCATTCTGTTCCTTTATAGAACCCTAATACACATATCATATTTACATAACACATACCATACAGATATACATAAATCATATATATTTGTTTCTTTGAGACAGGGTCTCATTATGTAGTCCAGGTCTGGAACTCATGGCAATCCTCCGGCTTCAGCCTCCCAAGTGCTGAGATTATAGGTATGAGCCACCATACTCAACATTTGTCTATTTTATTGATAAGGAAACTATTATCAACCAGAAAAGTTAAGTAATTAACTCAAGGTCACATAGCTAAAAGGGGGCAAAGAATCTCAAATCTGCACCCAAAATCCTGACATTCTTTTTCAAGTATTTAAAGAAAGGAAAAAAGCAAGTCAGAACAATACTGGAATAAAAATCAGTTTCTCTACATGAAAACTGACAGTGCTCAGCACAAAACTGGATTTCACCAACCCAGAATCAAAAGAGAAGCGCTCCTGACGCCACCTCACAGCTATCTATCTCCCAGCACACAAGCTTTCCATTCAGGCTACCTCACTTAGGAACTTACTGCTTTGGAAGACTTTTGAAGCTGATGCTTTTTCCTCAGCTTAACTTGCTGATTTACCCGGCGTTTGACTTGCCTCTGAAAATGTTTCAAAGCTTCTTGTTTTCTTCGTTGTCGTTCCTTTATTTCCTCTTCAATCATGTATGCTGAAGTCTTTACAGAGAAAAAAAAAAGAAAATGAACTTAAATGTCATCGATTTTGCCCATGAGGAAAGTTTAGTATATAATTGTCAAGAACAAAATCTCAGGTCTATAATCTGGTCTCCAGAAGAACAAGGAAATCACAGTTCAAAACCACCAATCTAAGTATAAGTATAGCTAGTGAGTCCCAGGAACTCAAAGCAAGTCAGAAGCTTAAAAAAAAAAAATGGAATTTGTGAATACTCATATCAAATCTTAATGTTTTATTCAACTAAAACCAAAGATGTCTTCATTAATTCTTAATGAAGTGATCTTGACCCATTTGTGTTATGGCTTCTAATATTAGGTAAACAGTAGATACACCATATTGCTCACCATTCAGCAGACATGTTCCCAATGTACAGTGCCTTCATACTTAGAATTAGCCATGCCCTTTTCGGGTGGAGGGGCGTATGTCACTATTACAGCCCCAGCTAGTCTGCAGCCCACTACATAGTTGATGCTGACCTCAACCTCCTGTCTGTCTCCCAAGTGCCTTTCACTCCATTTCTAATGGAGCCTTCCTTTCACCCATCTAGTAAGGCCTTCTTAGTCTTCAAGACTATCCAGCACTTCCCTCTGCACTCTTAATGCTATAGCACATTTCATTTGAATATGAATAAAATATAGCACTTACTAACTCTCTAGTAGATTATGAATTCTGAGGGCAGGAAATGTTTAATGCACCTTTCTTTAGATAATTTACATATGACAAAAATGATGTTTAAATTCTATAGAAATTACTCTTCAAAAATGATATATCTTAATCTAAATAAATCAAGTCTCTTGGTATTGATGCTATTATGTAGCCTTTTCCCACACTGAATTTTATCTATGTATAAACAACAGAATGAGGCAGAAGAAATGTTGGGTCTATGACTTCTCCAACAAGGTCATTAAGCAACTTCTGCTGAAGCTCTGGAATGCTCAGTAGAAAGCTATTCTCTTCAATCAAGTCAAAGAATTCTGACTACTCTGAGACTCCCATGTTAGAGAACCACAGCTTGCCAAACTAGACATATGGCATGGAAAGATATCCAGCCAGTCCCAGGTATTCTAGTCATGCTAGCCCAAATGCCACACACATGAAAAAGCCTTACTGGACATGAGAGCCTACAAAGAACCAAGAACTTTAACAGCCAGAACCCATCAAGCTGTCCTAAATAAACTGAAGCAGATAAAAGACATGCCACTTCACTCTGTGTAAACTCCTGACACACAGTATTACCTGCTTTATGCCACTATGTTCTGATATGGTTTGTTATATAACAAGACAACGGGGGGGGGGGGGGGTGTTAATATGTAAGAGGGATCATAGGTAAGACCACAGTGACTTTTCATAATAATTAGCAAAGAGAAATGAAGCTCTGAAGCTATGAGGCTTTTATGAACCCTGAAGACCCCTTGGAATTTTAAGTTCTTTAGAATAAGTATGTCCTTAGAGTAGACAAGTAACTATTTACCATTGTGGTGATATTTTGTTTGTACTCTAACAAATAAAATTTGCCTGAAGATCAGAAGACAGAGCCAGCCACTAGATTAAACATAAGAGTCAGGCAGTGGTGGCACACACCTTTAATCCTAGCACTCAGGAGGCAGAGATCCATCTAGATCTCTGTGATTTCAAGACCACCCTAGACTACATGAGATTAATCCAGTCTAAAAGAGAAACAGAGCCACACAGTGGTGGCACACACTTTTAATCCCAGCACTTGGGATCTCATGCCTTTGCTTCTAGTATTTGGGAAGCACACACACCATTAATCCCTGCACTAGGAAAGTTGAGACAGGAAGTGAGCGGAGAAAGGCATATAAGGCAGGAGGAGACAGGTACTCAGCCCTTTTGGCTGAGGACTCAGGGGCACTCAGTCTGGGGATTCAGGGAAATAGGATCTTCCCCTTTCAGCTGAGGAGTTGACGAGGTGAGAAGTGGCTGTGGCTTGTTTCCTCTGATCTTTCAGCATTTATACCTGATATCTGACTCTGGGTTTTTTTTTTTTTTTTTTTTTGGTTTTTTCGAGACAGGGTTTCTCTGTGTAGCTTTGCGCCTTTCTTGGAACTCGCTTTGGAGACCAGGCTGGCCTCGAACTCACAGAGATCCGCCTGCCTCTGCCTCCCGAGTGCTGGGATTAAAGGCGTGTGCCACCACCGCCCGGCCCTGACTCTGGGTTTTTATGGTAAGACCAATTAGGATTTGTGCTACATACCATATCTTTGAATTGACAGGGCAGTGTCAGTTAATAAGGATGGATTCCCAGATTAAATATGCTAAAGTAATAAAAGAGTCCTACCAGATGCTTGATCAAACTCCCTTTGACTGGAACTGATTATAGGATTATTTAAAAAGAGGAAAGGATACAATTTGTACATCTCTCAAGACTTTAATATTCTGAATGTGTGAGAACTTAAAATTAAACTATTTTAAACAACCAAAGAGGTGTTATGGTAACAGATTTTGAGCAGTCTGACACTACTGACATTATAAAGGTATCTTAGTAGTTAAAAAGCTGTACTGGACCAGTGAGATAGCTCAGCAGGTAAAGGCTCTGATGAGCTGAGTTCCATCACCAAGACCCACATGGTGGGAGGAGAAAAGCAACTTCCACAAGTCTTCTGACCTCCACACCACACACATACACAAATAAATAGATGGAATTAAAGTTTCTTAAAGAGTACTGACTTCAGTAATAAAGGAACTTTGTACCAGTTTTCATTTATTAATTTTCATTTCACTCACCTTTTTCAGGGCTTTTCCTCCTTCATTCCCTATTACTAAAGAAATTTTGATGATATGCTTCATATCTAAATTGTTTTAATTTGTTCTGATTTGTTTCCCTAAATCTAATCTTTCCCTAACCCTTAAAACTTAGAGGCAATTAATCTAATCAAAACAGTTTGATCATGGAACAGATCTATAAATATTAAAGTGAATAAAATCAGTATTCCCCAAGACTTTCTAGTTTGTCACTCTCCTTATTTTCAAATCCTGTCAGCTACTAAGCCTTCCCCTCCAATTAATCTAACCCACCCTTGTAACCCTAAACACTGCCTACTTGCTTCCTACTGTCCTCAAGCCCCATAATAGGAGAATCATCTCATCTCTACTTATCCAGATACTTTTAAACTTTCCTGGGTTCATACCAACTCAGGCATATTTCTTCTTTGATTAAGGGAGATATTCTTAGCACTTAATCACATGTAGTCCAACTCTTAAATTCCTTCCTGAAAGGTGGCCCAGTAGGCAGAAATCAATGAATATGTAACTATATACTCAATGAACATAAATAAAATTTATTCTGTGTGTTTGTGTGTGTGTGCACACATGTGCATGCCACGGTATGAGCTCATGTGTGGAGATCAGAAGTTGGCTCTCTCTCTTGTCTCTGTTACTGCGCTCCAGGCTAGCTGGCCCACAAGCTTCTAGAAGATTCTGTCTCTGCCTCCCATCTCAATACAGGAGTGTGGGGATTACAGGTGTACACCACCCCATCCAGCTTGTGCCTGGATTCCAGGACTAGAACCTCAGCTCATCAGGCTTGTACAACAAGTACTACTACCTGCTAGCCATCTCCCAAACCCTTATGCAATGTTTAAATGTGTTGTTTCTCCTCTAAAATCAAGAGCACTAAGAATATATTTTTTTTACCCATGTTTAGTATTTTGTCTATACTAAGAACATTGCTGATTTCCTGCATTCCATAAATACTTTCTGGGTATCTACATATATTAGGCAATATTTATTCAATATTATTTAATTAATTATTTAATAAAAACAGGGGGTGTGGAATATGATTTGTTCCCTATGCACAATAAAATGTGAACAAAGAGCTAAGGAACAGTTTGTTGAAAGACTAAGCAAAACTAAACAGAAACCTTGCGAAACTGCTCTCGTGTTAGAATGAGAAATCATTCACACATTTCCATGTGCAAACTTTCAAAAGGGCATCCCTTCATCTGAAATGCTTCTTTGTATCTGCAGTAACTGCATTTCTATTCCTTCAGGGCCAAGAAAGACCATATTTCCTCGTTCAGTCATCAAATATGTCCTAAAAGGCCTACTTTACACCAGAAGAAGAATGAACAGGACGTTTCCCTGTCCTCGTGGAATTTACAACTTTTTCAGAATTTCTGTCAGGATTAAGCCCTTTCTATTTGTCTTACTTCATTTTGCCTTGATCTTCATTTAGAGGCAACTAATTAACATTTATAGTGTGATCAGGTGTCTTTCCTATCATGTTACAGAGTGTCTGGAAGATGTACACAGTACCTATGTCTTACACAGCAAACAATCAAGTTTGTGAAACAAACTAGTGTATTTGCTGGTGCACGAATTATGTCCTGTATAGTAAATGAATAATAAATATTTAAATAATATTTGATTATGCCGACAAAAGATGAGGCAAGTTCTGGAAAACACATCATTACTGTATAATTTCTACACAAGAATATAACCTGTAACAGAATGGAAACAGCATCCTTCAGCTGTTCATCTCTAAGCACCAAAAATTAGAGAAGGCTAATAAAGGCGGGCAGGGAATCACTGTATTTGGGTCAACTGACACTCACATGTGCTGGGATTTCCGAGCAATCTGGTGAGGCAGGTTCCACCCATGCCCCAATTGGTACTATGGCCTGGTTCCTCTCGGCCAGCACTGCCAAAACGTCCTTGCTCTTCGTGGGGTTTAAAGCCAGGGGCAATTTGGTGGGATTCCGGGGTTTCTTGAGGGGCGCCATACCTCTTGGCATCTGACTTCTGGTTGGGAGAAAGGAAAAGAGAGGGGGTAAGAAATAAAGACGTGGGGAAAGGGTTTAAAAGTTACTTTCTGGAAGGAATGGGGATGAAGGGGAGCAGAATTAAGGACGGGTTTGGGAGATGGGAAACTGCCCACAGGCGGGCGGTTGGGTCTGCGAGAGGACCTGCGGCGGCGAGAAGCGCGGCCCCGTCGGTGCAGGAGGGCGGGGAACCTGTGAAGCTCGGGCAGGTGAACACGGGAACCGGTGGAGCCCGGGGCCCGCCGCGCCGCGGACCTCCTCACACTCAAACTCCGCGGGCTACTACGGAGAGCCAGGCCAGCAAACCGCCACTCCGCGTCCGACGCCCGCCCTGCCCCTTCCGGGTTCGCGTCATCCCTCCGGGCTGGGAGGGTGAGAGGGGCGGGGTTCCGGGCGCTGGGGCTGCGTCACTTCCGCTTCCTACCCTCTGGACCGGAGGGCCTGAGCAGGTTGGGGAAACCTCACCGAGTTTAACCTCCACCAGTCCGTGGGCCCTGGCGCTGTAGTCATCTCTCTCTCTCTCTCTCTCTCTCTCTTTTTTTTAGTTAATTAATTAACTTATTTATTTGGTTCTTTGGAGACAGATTTTCTCTGGAACTCACTTTGCCGACCAGGCTGGTTCGAAATCAAGAGATTCCCCCTGCCTCTGCCTCCCCAGTGCTGCGATTAAAAGTGTGCCCATCACCGCCTGGCTTGGCATCCCAAATCTCTAAGAGTGGTGTGCCAGCGGGCAAGGGTTCCCAGTTGAAGAAAGCACCTGAATAGCTAACAGTGTTTCTCAACCTGTGGGTCACGACCCCATTGGATCCCATATCAAATATCCCGCATATCAGATATTTACAATGTATAACAGTAGCAAAATTACGGTTATCAAGTGGCAATGAAATAATTTTATGGTTGAGGGGGTCACCACAACATGAGAAGTATTAAAGGGTTGCAGCATTAGGGAGGCTGAGAACCATTGGGCTAGAACCTCCTGATAGGGCATCCTCAAGATACAAATTAAGCAAACAGTAAACCAGACTGCTCCTTTATGCCACTCATAAGGTTTACAACGCAATTTCATGATTATTGTGTTCTTGTGTGTGACCATCTCAACGTAGTGAGTGGTCTCCATCTCTTCTCCAGACACTGCTTTGGGACATTTCATTAAACCTAAGGGATACAAACTCATTCGTTCAATGTGTGTATGTGTGCGTGTGTGCATGCGTGCATGTGTGTGTGCGTGCATGTGTGTGTGCTGGGAGTTGAATCTAGGGCCTCCAGTATGCTAGGCAAGTGCTGCAGCAAAGTCCCCAGCCCCCTTAACACTTCTGCTTTTGAGTTAGGGTCTCACTGATGTACCCATGCTGGACTCGAACTCACTGGGTAGCCCAGCCACAAACTTGCAATCCTCCTGCCTTAGCCTTCCCAGTGACTGATGGTGCAGACATGTGTCACTAGGCTCCACCTCAACATATATCCTTGTTTGGGGAATTTACAGTATGGTGAAGGGACATAGGCAGGGCACTTCACTTTTTTTAAATAAAGCACTTGCAAGCAAAGACTATATGAGATCATGGAACAAGCTATAATAAGCTTCAAGGAAGAGTTTTAGGTATTTAGTTGATTGATAGGTTTTATGGCAGCTCCTAGGTAGTTCAGGCTCCTTCTGTCTCAGCATCCCAAGTGCTGTAATAACTGGCATACAACATCATTGAATCAGGTATAGGAGCTGGAGAGATGGATGGCTCAGTGGTTAAGAGTGCTTCCTGCTCTTCCAGAGGACCAAAGTTCAGATCCCAGCACCTACATGCTCATAACCTCCTATAACTCCAACTTCAGGGATCCAATGTCCTCTTCTGGCCTCCCTAGACAGACAGACAGACAGACAGACAGACACACACACACACACACACACACACACACACACACACACACGAGAATGTTGCAGGTAAAGAGTGAGCATTCATGTAGGAGCACTGACTGGTGGAGAAAAGCAAAGGAGGCTAGTATGCCTAGAACAGGATGAAAGGAGAAGAACTGAGACAGGCGTGACAATTCACATAGAGCGTGTTGAGCACCAGGACAGGATTGTGAGCTAATGAGTGCCAACTTGTCTTGAATTTTTAAAAAATCATTCTGTATGCCATATTGAGAATTAGCCAGGAGTGAATTAGTTAGGAAGCTACTGCAATAGCTCTATTAGGGATATATGATGTCTTTGCCCATGGATGTGGTGGTGGAAATGGTGAGGAAGGTAGTGGAATTCTGAATATATTTGGGAAGTAAGGTTTTCAGGACCTGTTGAATGTTTAGCTATAAATTTGGTGTCGTGGTTGTGACAGGGTGAGCAGTCAAGGAAAACTAGGGTTTCCTCTTGAGTCTACAGGATGGGATTGCTTTTCACTGAGGTGGTGAAGATAGTGAAGGAGTAGGGTTGGGATGGGAGAAGATCAGGAATTGAGAACAAAGTTTCATTTAAGTGGTCAACATCCAAGAACATAATAGGATAAAAGTGCCTGGAGGAGAGTTCTGAACTAAAAGAGTAAATCTCAAGTTATTAGCCTAGAGATTCAAATCCATGACTCACCAGTCAATGAGTATAGACAGGCTGTAATTGTCATGCCTGGAAAGGATGAGGATATTCTAAAGAGACATTTGTGTCCTTAACTATGGCTATCTGGACTGTTGAAACAAAGTAGTCCCAGGGAATTGGGCTTTCCCCAAAGTCTCATGATCGGAGAAGGGAAAAGGATGAAGTCTGGTGCCAGCCATCAGGGAACTTGATTCCCAGAAATCAGAAAGAGATTTCACAGAGTGCCAATAACTTGTCAGAACCACCTTGCAGGAGACAGGACCTGAAACAATGATGGGTCAATGACCATACCTTGACCAAGTTTGCTTAATTATATCTTCTGTTTAACCCTTTTTCTCATTTTGGGACCCTGGAAGATGGACCTCTTTGTCTCTCTTCTCAATGTGATCACATTGAATAAATCATTTTCAGCTCTTCTTTTCTTTCTTTTTTTTTTTGTTTGTTGGTTGTTTTTTTTTGGGGGGGGGGTTGAGACAAGATTTCTCTGTGTAGTCTTGGCTGTCCTGAAACTAGCTCCTGTAGATCTGGCTGGCCTCGAACTCACAGAGCCTCTGCCTCCTGAAGACTTGGATTAAAGGTATGCACCGCCACCACCCAGCCATTTTCTGCTTTTCATTTTTAATGTGGCTCTTTTAATTGGCTAATCAAGGACATGTGGCCAAGACCAGCTTGTTAGAGCAGCCAAGGCATAGTCTCTGATCCCTAACTCTGGATCTTCAGGTTATCTGACACCCTCTTCTCACCTCTGTGTGCACCAGGCACATACATAGTGGACAAATATGCATGCAGGCAAAACAACCATATGCATTAAATGAAATGAAATGGAAAATGAGAACATTGGACAAATTATCCAGGAGAAGACTGAAATCACTGAAAAATATGACAAAATACAGGTTGGCCAATGCCAGGAACACCAATCTTTGAGGCATTTTAGAAAAATATCTACAGATTGGTAGGTGGATATAAGCTGGAAAGCAGTAAATGGTATAGTCAGATGATGCAAGATTTAAAATTAGAGATGAGATTAAGAAAAAGCAAGAGGTTGGTTAGAAATGGCGCTGAATAGCAAAAAAGAATCCATCCTGCCTACACCTGGCTGGATCATGAACAGAACATAGTCACTTTTTGGGGACAAAGAGATTAAGTTACACATGCATACACACACACACACGCACACACACACACACACTAAATATTTGGAAATGGTGTTGTTAGATATTTCCTTGCCCTCTCCAAACCTTTACTTCAAATTCTTTATTTTCCATTAAAAGCTAGGTTAGAGGTTTTCTAAGAACCCATACTCATTAATCCAGAGAATTCCCATCAGAGATCTGGCTCACTTTCTGACCTCTTCTGCAAAGTTTATATTCACCTGACTTGGATTGGTTGCTCAGCAAGGGAACTGCTGATTTAGAGAAGTCCATCTTCAGAAGTTTAAAATACCAAGTGTTGCTTGCAACAGAGTGTGGAGTCCCAGCTGCGGAGCAGCACTCAGCAGAGTTGGATAATCCTTTTCTGCGGCTGGGAATCCCTGATCATGTCTGCACAAAGCCCCAAGTCTCTGTGTTCTTGGCAGCAGTCCACCCAACACAGAATCAATTGTTTGCTGAATACCGGGGAGGACTTTGCTATTTGGTCACTTCTCTCCTGTTTGTGGCTAGCTGAACCATACTTGTAACAATATAGAAAACTTTGTCACGATAAGTCCTCAGAGCCTATGCTGAGAAGAAACTCTGTAACAGTAATTAACCTCCCAGAGGAACAAAGTGTTAGGAACCCAGCCCCGAGCAGCTGAGTCATATCCACTTTGATCTCTGCCCCCCAAGCTTGTGCAGGGTTTCCCATAGCTAGCCAATGTTCTGACCAGTGTCCTAAAAGCAGACCATAGTGCTATCCATCTATGTTCTTCCCCCCTCATCGTCTTAAAGGGAATCTTTCTAACTAGAAGATGTAGAAGGGTCTTTCTGCTTGCTGGGCAGACCGGGATTTTGCAGTAGCATTTCAGTGTAAACGGGACCACAAATGACACCTACTTTTTCTCAACAGCATCTGCTACGGTGCATTTTGCAAAAGACTCTAATTTTATCAAGGATACAGAAATCATTTTATCCTTCTTCTTGGTGTGTGATTTTAAAAAAGAAGAACACAGGAGTCTCAGTGTCTCTCCACATTTCCAAATATATATCTAAGACAGACAAGAAATGAAAGGCCCAGATCCTTGTCCAGGAAATACTTGTCACATTTTGGGAGTATTGTAATCCCTTCAACTGTTTGATCCTCAGCCTCTCCCCCTGATGATGGGAGATGTGGAACCTCTAATAAGATTAGCTCTCAAGGCTATCCCAATGCTAAACTTTCTAAGTAGAAGGGGGAAAAATACTTTATTAATAATACAAATAGTATTCATTTTTATGCTGGGCAGTGGTGGTGCACACCTTTAATCCCAGCAGAGTCAGAGGCAGGAGGATCTCTGTGAGTTCGAGGGCAGCCTGGTCTACAGAGCGAGGTCCAGGATAGGCTCCAAAGCTACACAGAGAAACCCTGTCTCGAAATAATAATAATAATAATAATAATAATAATAATAATAATAATAATAATATTTTTTATTATTTGTAACATAAAAAAACTCTTACTTGAGTGAGTGATACATAGAGGACCATGAAGAAGACAAGCAGAAAGAATAAAAGTTACCTACAAAACCCAGTTTCAAGAATTACTGCAGCCAGTGTAATTGCACAGGCCTTTAATCCCATCACTCGGAAGGCTGAGCTCTATGAG